CCAAAAAAAAAAAAAAAAAAAAGAAAGGAAGAAAGAAAGAAAAAACTGTCAATGGCTGGTGAAGTAGCTCAGTGAAAAGGCTCTGGGTTCAATCTCCAGTGCTGGGGAAAAAGGAAAAGAGTTTTTCCACGCGTGTGCCAGGCGCTTTGACGTGTGTTATCGCAGTATCTTCAGACAGCCCTGTAGGGTAGATGTTGTCATTGTCGCCATATTACGGGTGATGAAACAAAGGCCCCTGAAGAGTGAGAGGCTCATCCGAGACCTCATCGCCAGTGTGTGGCAGGACCAGAGCCCAGCGCAGAGCCAAGGCGGAGCGAGTGGGCCCCGGACCCGCTCAGGACTGTGGCGCTGTGCCCTGACCTCTGTGTGGCAGTCCACGTGGACACGAGGGAACACGAGCCACTGTGATGGTGTGGCACGGCTCTCGGTGGCCTCTCTGGGAAGAACTCCTGCTCGACCTGAATTCCCAGGATTGTTTCCACTTCCTTCAAGGCCCTTTGGCCGGGTCTCTGCCACGTGATTGGCATAAGGCTCGCCCACAAGCTCTGCCTCTCAGCTCCACATCGACAGAAGGACTCCTCTGCTACCTGCAAAGCCCTGGTGCAGAATGGACTGAACTTTGAAAATGCACCCACTTGCTTTATCTTCCCAGAGGCGTTTTAAAATGGAAATGGTCTGCAAAAAATACAGAATGGAAGACCAAGTCTTCTCTCTACTTTCCCTTAAACACGCGGCCTCCCCTGTCCGAGCTCCAGTTTCCCTGTGCCTGAAAGAAGAGGTTCAGTCCTGTTCTTCCTAAAATGGATTGATTATCACTATGTAACATACTTTTTAAATTATCAGAAATAAAATTGCCCGTAAGTTTGTTATTGCTGTTAAATTATCTCCTTTTTAAAACTTCAACCATCCTCTGCAATTCGAAGCATCTCAGACACTTAATTTTGTCAGGTGTGCGCCACCTGCCCCCCCAACACACAGCCATTAGCACTTTCAAGACGTCCAGTTAAAAGAAACTCAGTGGAATTAATAACAGGCCCAGAATCAGTCACAGTTCTGGTCGGGTCTAATTGTCTTCCGCGGGACCTGGCAGGCCAGGTCCCGGCACCTGAGGAGCTGTGTGTTGGTAGTGAACTGCCAGTGCCCGCCTGGGCCGCTTGCTGTGGAACTGAAGTCTTCTAGGGACCCTGTCAGTGAGCAGAGCCTCTGGTTTGTCTCCGCAGGCGCCATGCAGTCCTACACGTGGTCTCTGACGTACACAGTGACGACGGCGGCCGGGTCTCCGGCCGAACACTCACAGCAGCTGCCGTGCGTGCGGAACACCCCTGTGCCCGCGTCCTCCGTGGCACACCGGATCCCAGTTTACCCCCACAGAGAGGAGCACGGGTAGGCGCCCCTGCCGGGAGGCTGCTTACCTGAGTATTGCCTTAAGGGGCTTGCATGCCTGCTGCCCTGCTGGGCCCTCAGCGTGCTCAGCCACGGTCTCGAGGGGTCCCTGCCTCAGCCCAGTGACATAGGCAGCAGGTGCTGGTGATGAGGAGCTGGAGACTTGGTCCAAGGACTCAACTTTCTGGGGTCTCACAGCTGCTGCAGGTGGGCCCGGGTGGACCTGCTCTCCCTCCCAAGCTGGCATCCTCTTGGCCTCTCTGAGAGCCTCATGGGGCCCGGGGGTCAGGGGGTCCAGGTCGCTCCTGTCTCACCTCCACTGAGAGGTGGCCTCCCGCCCGCAGCCAGCAGCCCCTAGAGGGCTGCGCCTGTTCTCAGGCCCCGGGGTCCCTGCAGACTCCAGCAGGGCTTCATCCCCTAAAGAAATGCGTCATTTGCTTTGCCCACATGTTTTATCGCATGTGGGCAATGGCGCTGCTGTGATGAGTGAACCACGAACCATGTCACCGGCCACCCAAGTCACGGTGGCCTTGGGCCATTGTGCAGCCTTTATCAAAAGACGCTCATGCAGAGGGTGTCGTGCATGGGGATCTGAGGCGGACTCTGACGGAAGAAGACCTGAGGTGTGTGTAGAACAGGTGGCCCGGCCAGGGACGGCCAGGCAGAGGCCCTGAGGTGGGCACAGACCGCAGAGCAGCCTCTCTGCCCTCAGGGGCCTGCTTTTAGGGTGGGCTCTGAGGATCCGGGGCAGGGAGGTTTGAACCTGTGGGAGCAGCAGAAAGACCCTCATTCGGGGACGGGGACAGTCGGGCCGTGTGGACACGAGCACCCTGCTGCCTATCCAGTGTCTCCACATGCGGTGACGATGGATGACCCAGTGCAGGAGTTCTGCCCATGTGGGAAATGGGGCTGTGGCAGCTGAGGTCACCAGTGGGGACGAGGCGGGGCCCAGCCCACACCTGGGCCTTGGGGCCTGGCGGGCCTCGCCTCATGCCTCCCGCCTCCCTCAGGAGTCACGGTGTCCCTCCCCACAGTGGCCAAGCAGAGGCCCGAGGAATAGGGAAATGCAAGTCCCAAAGCAGCGTCTTTCCTTTTTCCCTATCTGGTAGTCCTGGGATAGGAGGTGGGCCAAGGAGCCGGCAGCACAGGAGAAGTTCTGTCTTGTCAGAGTTAAGTTCTGCTCAGGGGTGGACTCCACTCCCTGAGTGCTCGCCAGGAGACCAGAGG